ATTTTAATTAACATGGCGACCGTGACATGGCCTGAACCGTAATCCATTTATTATTAAGGCTTTACGGCTTTATATAAATATTTCTAGAATTTTAAAAATTCTCTACCCACAACCCAAATAACCCCCTTTACAGGGTATCACCAGCAATTGTCTGTTTTTGGGCGCTTTTATTATTTCTTTTCGAGTGGATTTTACTTTGTACACACTCGAAGCATTGTTGGAGTTGCCGGTTCGGTTGGTAGATTCGCTCCCTGCCTGCTGTTTATGATTGTTTTTTCATTTTCTCAAGTGATGAGTAGGATATCTGTCTGCCGGAGAGCTACAGAAAAGGCAGAAAAAAACAAAACAAAAAACACAGGCAACAGCAACAGCAACAAGCTATTTGCGACTCACGACTTTTCATGCAATTTTTGAATTTAAAATTCTTCACACACTCTTTTCATTATGTGGCTTCATTCCAGCTCCACCAGATAGATCCATCCGTACCATCTTGATCTCCTCTCCCACCCCCCTCTCTGGACTGGTAGGTACCCTTGTAGGGTAAAATCAACGGCCCGCCATCGAAGTCGAAGCCCAAGTCGAAGTCGAAGCAAAGTAAGATGCTACTCTTGTGGCCATCTTTGAAGTGGTTGTTGTAATGGGTGTAAGCCAAGCCAGGGTGTGTGTGGGTTACAGGAGGTGTGTGTGTGCGGTGTGGAGAGTGTGGGGAGTGTGGGGAGTGTGTTTGTATGTTTGGGAGTGTGGAACCATCGAGGAAAGACGCAGAATCACGCGCCATTCAAGTTTGAATTGTCGCTCCAGAAATAAACACAGTGGTTACACAAAAAGTAAATACATAAATAAATATATAAATAAATTCAAAGATAACATTTTAAAGATATAAGTAAATAAATATACGTCTTGGCAAATAAAGGATAAAAATTTATGGCAAAAATATACACTATTTATTTTAACTTTAAATAGGAATTCAAGCTTCCTAAAAAGTGTTTTCTGCATTTTTAAATTATAAGACTTCCTCTTAACTTTAAAAATCCGACAAATATTATTTTTGACACCCACTTTCCCACGAATAAAAATTCTTTAAGGCAACTTCCTCTGCATTATCTCCTATCCATCTTAGCCAGAGTTCCTTTTTAACCCAAAAACCACTGTGCAATCTGGCCAAGACGATGACTGGCCGCTTGCCCGACTCAGTGAGTTGAGCTGCCCCTGGATGTTGGCTCTGGCTCTGGCTCTGGCTCAGCTGCTGCTGATGATGACTTCGAGCTGGTGCTCTCGGATCGGATTCGAGGGAACGAAGAAGGGACCGCCGCGCCGGCTCTTGGTGGTCCAATTCAACGAATTGACTATAATCAGTCTAGTGCCAAGTACGTTTCAAGTGTCTACTCATGCACTTCTGTGTAGCGTGTGGTGGTGGGCCCGAGAGGGCCAACAGCCAAGAGCCAAGCAGGCCGGCCGGCAAACGTTATGGCTTATGGCTCTTGGTCGGCGAGTTCCAAGTGGTTTGCTCTCGTATGCAAATGGTTGCTCCCGCTCCCGCTCCCGAACCCGATCCCGTTCCCCCTGTACACACACAAACCCCCCATTCCCTTTCCACTCGAGGACGCTCTCACGAGTGCCGCGGCGCACAAAATTAATTTATTACAATGCAACAAATTACAACACTCATTAATATTTTAGCCAAGTTCTGTAAGAGGCACAGGGAGAAATTGTGTGGTAAAAGGAGAAGGAAGTAATAGGAAATTTAGTAATAATTTTGTTTTTATAAGAAAGGTCAAGTCAGGCTTGGTTTAAATTCTTAAAATATACTTTTTCTTCTCATTAATTTCTATATTTTCCTTAGAACACTTTTGTCAAAATACAAACCTTGTACAAAGTTTTCCTTAATAAAACACCACCTTATTTCCTCTCAGTGCTTATTGCGTACTTGCTCTTAGAGTTGTAACATGTGACTGGCCTGGAATTTAATTCGCCGACAGGTCCAAGGAAGCTTGTAACCTGCATGTTGACTGGGCCCAGTAAAAAAATTTAAAAAAAAGGCATTAAAAAATACTGGCTAAGGCCAGGAGGGGACAAGGGCGTGGCGTCTGGCTGCAAGTCTCTCTCTCTCTCTCTCTCTTTCATACCTAATAAATCTGTAATTTGTAATTAATGTGAAAAATTGCCGCCCGAGACGGGGAACAAGCCTAAATTGTTATTATATGGCCAGGGTCCAAGTTCCAGTCGCAAGTCTGGCTTCGAGTGTGGGTCAGACTCATAACTCTTCCACGTAGTACGTGTGTGCGTATGTTTGCGTTTCATAAATATAAATTAAGCCACTTGGCTAACGCACAGAAAAAGTGAAAACTTGGTCAACTTGCGGATTTACCTTACTTTGCCAAAAAAAATAACAACAAAAAATAAAAATGAGAGCACGAAAACCAGAAAGAAGTCTCTTTATTGCACTTACCGTCGCAGGTCGCTTAGATGATGGCCCCCGAGATGATGCCACATGGCTCCATTGTCTGCTGAAAGCCACTCATGCGGTGTGATTAATATGGAAGGTGGCCAAAATACTGTGGAAGCCGGGCCAAGACAGCCAAGCCAGGCCAGGCCAGGGGCCGGGCCAACTCTGTATAAAAATACATTTGAGAAATGGCTATTTATAAAATGGAGAGACAACTCAATCAAGAGAATGGCAAACAAAGTTGCCAGGGAATTCAAACAAATAAATGAGAATTTTTAAGAAAATGCATTCAAGAAAGCTAAAATCATGTGAAATAAATATTTATAAGCTAAAAATAAAAGCATTTATTAAAGAATTTATTTGTTTATAAACCTAAAACTGTAATTAAAGTGGAAATACATTTTTTAATATTTTATTATCAGTAAAATATGTAAATTGAAAGACTCTCCCAAACTCTGAAAAGTCCCTTCCATCACCTCTTCATATTTCGTTTCCTGGAGTTCTTGAAAACATTTTGCTTTGATGTTTCTAAATTTAGAAATGGACAAGTTTCGGGAACACAATTCCTCCATTAGGTAAAAAAACAATAAAATTGTTTGACGGGCGGTAAAAATGTGTGCATGATTGATAATATTCGAAAGTTGAAAACAAGCCAAGTGGCAACCGCAACGGGAACCAGGAAAATAACTTAGATATATCCAAAATATTCGCGATATATATGTATGTATGTATAGGTACTATACCCCTTCGATCCCCCCGCCGATTGGCTGCGGTCCTAAAAGCAGCGGGGGCAGTTCAATTGCTACCCGGTCGGTCACTCACCGATTGAAAACAATTTTTTCGGTTATAAAAGCACTGAGAAAAATTGTATATAAATATAAAATTATAAAGGAAACTTTATATTATAAGAAAAATTTATTAAGAAATTATAAAAGAATTTAATACAATTTATTTATAAAATATTAAAGAAACTATTACATGTTTTTCGAACGTTAAAATACATTTCTATTTAAAAAAACATTTAATTTTGTGAATTTTTAAAAAAGTATTAAATTTTAAAATAGCATAACATAATTTTAAAGGCTCCTAGAATATTTAAAAAATATCTTTCCTTACTCTAAACCAATATAAATAATTTATAAAATTATAATTTATAATAAATAAGTAATAAAAACTCCCATAAAATCTCTAAAAATACCCAATTTTCTCCCAGTTTACTTACCAATAGCTATAGCAACCTAAGTGAGTGATTCAATGGAGCAAAACGTGAGCTAAAGACGTGATCCAGCAGCAACAATTGGGGGGAATAACAACAACAAAAAGCGGCATTTATACGCCTGATGAGCGAAACTACGGGGCGGTCGATCGGTCGGCCTTTTGAAAACGTTATAAAAATGTTGTGTTATTCACTTGTGATATTTTATTTTTTCCCAACGAATCAATCACAATGATTATGATAAATGATTTAAGCATTTTTTGTTATTTCTCGTATTTATATTCACTATTTTTGAATGGTTTTTATATCCCTCGTACTTTTTTGCATTATTAAACCCGAATAATGGGCGTTCAGTGAGCTGAGAGCTTGTAATTGCCGAGCTTATAAATCACGGTGAAAAGATATAATTTCGTTACCGATGATCTCTTTGGCCCACTCTTTGATTAGCACATTTGTCTGTCTGGCTGGGAGTTTCACTTTTCAACGTTCGCTGACCCATTGAACTACAAAATTCTGGCGGCTATACGCCTTACGTTTTAATGCTGATTTATTTCTGGCATTTTTTATTCCTTGCTGTTTTTTATCAGTATTTTTTAATCTTGTTAGAAAACTTCATTAGTGTCAACTTGGCAGTTTTCTTGCGCTGATTAATGTGTGTCAGACGGAGGCGGTAGGAAAAACTTTTCGGTAGGAAAAACCTGTCTCTAAGCCTGGGTTTTTTTTGTGGGGGGAAAAACTCTGGCGACACGCCCCTTTTGTGTTGGTCAAACGGTATTAAGTCTTTTTATGGGGGAATTATTAATTGAGGTGGACGTTCGGGGGTGTGCATACTAATAAGTTGGGTTTGAATAAATATAATAATAAGGATAACTAAGCGCCGGCTTGAGGGGCATATTCCCTGGTTTTTTACAAGAAAAAACAACTTTCAAAATACAGTGGAAATTGGTATACAGAAAACTTAACTGGAAAATTATACAAAAAATATTTTTTAAAATTAATTTAAAATCTTCTTTAGATTTTAAAATATTTATAAGGCAACTGTAAGCCTTAACTCCTCTCAAACGTTATAAATCATTTTTAAACAGAAACAAAAACATGAAAATAATATTCTTCTAAGGAAATATAGTGTTATTTAATCATATTTTACTGTGTTTTATTATTTATTTTATTTTTTTTATTGTACCTGCTAACAAGCTCTCTTGGCTGACCACTTTTTTGGTCACAAAATTTGACAAAATTTGCCAATATTTGAGAACTATTTGAATTATAAAATATTTGTTATGAATTATGAATCTATTGGGTAACCTGAGCTAACAAGTTTGTCCACTCCCATTGCAGAGTTGCTCCCCTCCAAAAGACGCGCCAACCCAATACCGATCCCCAACCAGATCGATGTGGCCGGAGACGACCGTCTGAGGTTCGCCCGAGCAGGTAGAAAATGGCGGACACTTACCAGGATGCAAGCAGCACGATGCGCCCGGTGTTTCCCAACTCGCGGCTAGGCTCCTTGGCCGGCGCATCCTTGGGCCAGCTACCGGGACCGCTGCTGGGAGATGGGGATGTCCTGAGCACCACAGCCGCCTCCTCGGCTGCCGTGGCCTCCGCCTCCGAGGGCTACAATCCGCTGGACGATGACCAGTGGTGGGCCAATGCCATCGAGGTGGACACCTTCGACTCACCGCTGGCCTTCGATGCCAGCGAGAATGGACTGTGGAACGGACATTTTGTGCCGCCGCCGCCCCGGCCGCCGTTCCTGGATGAAAGCGTCGCCGCCGATGGCCTGACCACCTGTGATCTGTGCACGTGGGCCTGGCAGCGGAATGCCTACTCCCTGGATGGATCCATCGGTGAGTCTCTCGAGTCCCTTATAGGATATACAATGTACACCCTTTCCCTTGCCCTCCTTGGCTTTTTCAATTAAAAGTCTCTGGCAAGACAATAATCTAGCGGCCGTGCATCGATCGCTGATATCAATTTATCAAACTGATGTTGGGCGTGCGTGGCTCGATTGCTTTTCGGCAAGCGAGAGAAAGAGCGACTCCTCCTTCGCTAAGTTTTACACGGCAAAAATTAATTAGTTTATCTAATGGGAGGCATTAAAAATATAAATAAAAAATGTAATAAGAATAAACTAGAAGTGAATGGGGAGGGGTAACGTTTATTATGATTGATTGAAGCTAATCATCGTATAGAAAATATTCTAAACTTTGATAAATCGTTATAATATATATTGAAAAATATCGCTTTTAAGGTTATAATATCGATATTATCAAATTGTTCCCATATATTTAACAGAATATCAATTAAACCCTTTAAAGATCGATACAAAATTAGAATAACTATATGAAGAAAAAATTTATTTAATTAAAAATATCTAATTATCGCTTTAAAGATCGATACATTATCGATATATCCACATCAACGCTGAATAACAGAAATAAATCATTTTTTTCTAATTTTATTTATATTTTAAACAACTTCTGAAATATATTTCAAAATGTAGTTTCAAGTTTTAACTCGGATAATTATCATTACAATTTTCTCCCAGTGCACCTTGTGTTTGCAAATTTAATTTGTGCACATAACTCTTTGTGGCAGCTTTGGGTTTAGGAGTTGTTTCGCCAAAGTTCCAAACCCCCGAACCCAAACCCAAGCCCAAGATCCAGGGATCCACCAGGCGGCACGGTATCCACTATCGCCCCGGCACATCGCCAGCCATTTGTCTCTGCGCTTGTAAAAGCCGAAACAGTTGAGGGAAAATGAGGGGCTAAGGCCTACCTCCCGACTTAGAGATGCGGAAAAGTTTATGAAAATATGAAGCAGTGGGCGTGGTGACTCTGGTATCCGAAGATGGGATAGATAGGCTGGCGAAGCCAAGGCTGAGCTCTTTAATTTAACGGGGAGAACAAATGAAGCCCGAACCATGATCATGGGCAATGGAAATTCGGGGAAATGCAGTACCCAAATTAAAACACAGCCAAAGGTCTCATTAAAATCTAGCTTTCATTTTGCGACTAAATGCAAATCATTGGCCTCCCTGAGGGAGAACCTGTTGGCACTCACCCCATAACCCAAATAACACTCGTAATAGCGCAAAGCGAATGCCAAATGACCGTTGTTTTTACACTGAAAAAGAAAATATATATTAAATTTAGAAATTATAATTAAATATTATATTTAGGGGAGATATTTATTAAGGGTCAAATTTTATAAGCAATTTACTTTTTCTATATTTATTTTCATAAAGAAAGCTCAAGAAAATATTTATTAATTAATAATAAATTTCTAAAAAATATTGGAAATTAATTTTAATACCAAAAACTTTAAAGTAAATTTAAAATAATTTAATTTTAAATAAAAAACAGTTTAAGGCAATTCAATATTTAGTTTAAGAACTCCAAGTTCAAATTACCTCAGATCCACTTTTTACTTTATCTAAAAAAATATTTATTTGATATTTTCAAGCCCTTAAATATATTTTAAAAATATTTCTTTGAATACTTCTTTTCCTTATAATGTTAAAAATTTATTTCAAGACCTAAAAATATATAAAATATATTTTTGAAATATATTTTTTCTGTGATTTACTCCAACTAATCACAATTTCTTTCCGTGTTCCTATATGGCCAAGCTCTATGGACCGTGGTATATGGCATGGCATTTAGCCGTTTGCCGTATTTGATTTCCAGGAATCGCTTTCAGGGCAAATTGAAGTCATTATACATAGTAAAAACGTTCGCAGAGTTGAGGTCCGAGCTTAAAAACGCAGCCTGCGATGGGTGCCTGGCGTTATTAGGCTAATTATAGAGCCGGACTCGAGCTCGGACTTTCAGCATATGTATGTACGATATATACCATATATATATATACATATATATGTATAAATGACTTTATTCATGCCGACGACGACGACTGGGCGACTGTTTGTCGCGCCGAATGTCTGGGATTTCCTGTGGCCCAAACGACGTGTCAACTAATTTGCAACACTCACCTGGACATGGGGCGGGAGCACCACTTCCATGGAAGTACCTGCGGCAGCCTTTGGCAAAAATATTATTATTTTTTTTGCACATTTTTTTGGCCAAGGGATTAGGTTGAGAGTTGAGAGGAGAAAAACATTTTTGACTAATGTCTTAATTTTGTGCTTAGGTGTCTGTGGCGGTTCGCTTCGGTTTTGGGAGTCCAGCCATTGCGGCTTTGGGCATACGCTACACTAGAGATGGCCTAAAAAGATGGAGATATAGTAGCTATACTGAGTTTGCAATCCAGAAATTTTTAGTCAATGTTAAGCAGGAATTTTAAAGGATTTTGTACTTTAATTAAGCCTAAAAATAGTTTGTATATCGGTAATTTCTATGTTTGAACTAACTTTGATTTTTTATCGATATCTTTTCGATAAAATCAATATTTTGTCACTTTAAATGAGAGCTTCCGATATTAAATTCAGAAAAAAAAATTTATTTATATTTTATTCCTTTTATATATCACACAAAATAACACTTTAATTGATATATTCACATGCTAATATTTGAAATTCCCATCTTAAATCAAATAAAATCACTTATCGATATATTACATAATATCCCTATCCGATATACATCCCTATAATGCCTGAATAGGCGGAAAAGTCGTGCCTGGACTGCAGCGAATGCCATTCACTTCGCTTCATCTCGTCGGTCCTCCAAATTGAGCTTTTGCATGTCGTGCCCCAAAGTCTTTGGGACTTTGCTTTGTTTCTGACTATGTTGTTTCCTCCGGACTGCTGTTGTTGTTGTTGTTTCTCGGTTCTCTGCTGGCAGAATTGACAGCTGAATAAAATGTTATTATATTTACACCATAATTTGCATGGCAATTAATCAAATGGCATGCAAAATTCGACATCGGCCACGGAAAGGTAAAGGCAATCCCAGGCGACACATTTGCCCGGTGTTGGTGGGTGCCAGCCAAGGTATTTCTGGGAATTATTCTAACAAAAGTTTCAAAGCGAAACGAAAAAACAAAATAGCCTAAAATAAAAACAAAACAGAAATAAAGCGAACAAAAAAAAAGAAACAGAAAAGTTTCGACCCGCCTAAATGTCTTTATTAGGATTCCAGCTGGCTGAAAATGGAGCTCGTTAAGGTTGGTACGTAAAAAAGATGGTATGGGATTGGTTTATATAAAAAAGGGAATTTATTCAATGTGATAGAAATCACGAAATTCTTTAAGCAAAAAAAATATTTAAAGGGTTTTATAGAAACAAATATTTACTTTGTTTTATTATTTCAAAAAGTAAACTATAGCTTATTCGTGTTTATCTTATGATATCTTTCTAATCTGTTTAAATTATATATCCAGCAAGCCTTTATTATAATCATAAAATGTAAAAACAAGCGGAAACCATTAAAGTCTCCATAAAAAATAAAGAAACCGTTTAGCTAGATGCCAAAACCAGTTGGTGCTAAACTCTTTCCCTTTTATCGAACACACATTTCAAATAATAGGATATAGCCATTTTCCTGGCACTTCCTGCCAACTTAAGCCACTCGTTTCTCACAATTTTATGCTTTATGGGAGATTAAGTTAACCGCCTGATTATTTCAACAGCATATTTTGTATAATTTATGCCCCACTTTTGGGCCTCCCATAACAACAACAAAGAATAAAGGGTAACAATTCTATATTCTGCAAATATTTACAGCAATTTGTGGCAAAATAATAAAAATGAAAGGTCTCTCTGTCGGACTGAAGCCAAACCAAACCAAAAGACCCCAAAAAAGGACTCGTGTTTGACTTTGTGTGCGGCTGTTGAATAAATGTTTTATTGCAATAACAACGATATCAACAACAACAACATCAGGGGAACAATGCGAAAAGGAAAAAGAGAAAAAAAATAACATAAACAACAAATACAGCAGCTGTTGTATTTTGATACTTTTATTATTATTATTGTGGCAGTGGTGGTAGTGGTGGTGGAAATAAATTCAAATAAATATATTTAAGTTGCTGACTTTGGGCCTCAAGTGTTCACCGGCTTCCCCTTGCTGGTCTATTAGAGCCATTGTCCTGGCTACACCATAAATATTGAAGGACCCATAGACGAGAGCATTTTTATTGACAGGATTTATGCCAGGCTCAAAGCAATTCAGAAAAACTTATTTCCCTACAATAACAGGATTAGGAAGAACATGTGTGTTTTGTGGGGAAAAATCAGGAAAGGAAAGTCTTGGGAAGTTTAATATATTTCTAAAAATTGTAAATATATTCTGTTAAATATATCAAAAGCTAAACAACAAGATGACATTTTAATAGATAAAAGAAAAATATATATGTTGTTTATACATAGGTTTGACTTTTACTAATATTTTCTAAATAGTTCAAAAAATGTCTAACACATTCCTATAATTATTTATAAAATTTAAAAAACATTTTAAAACAAATCTAGAATTAATTTTTAAATATTCTGCATAGTTTTTCTACAAATCCGTGACTTCTAAAGAAGAACAAATGATGATGGATCATCTTTTAAGTGGCGGAAACTCACTATATACTATACACTCTCTACCACATTTTCCGCTTCGCCTGTGTTCACTGGCCATTGGCCATAGCTCGTTAACGCCAAGCTTTTGGGCCAAAATACATGACTAATCTAAAGATTATGAAATTTATGCAAAACCGCAAGCGACGTGATTCCTATAATATCTTTTTTTTTTGTGCCTTTTTTTCGGCATCTGCCGGGAGATATTCAAGCTGTAAGCGGAAATGAGTGAATTCCTCTGGTGTTTTTTGTTGTGTGTGTTTTTCCCAACTTTAGTTCCTTCTGTGTGCTCTCTGAGTCGTATAATTGTTGCAGCCAGAACGCACTGTG